CGCCAGTTCCATCTCTGCTCCTCGGTCCCGTCGCTGGCAGCCATGCCCGGCGGGCCCAGCGGTCGGCGGTCTCGGTCTTGCTCGTATGGGCGGCTGCCCAGGCGGTCACGGTTGCGGTCCTCCTCCTCACCGCTGGCCTCACGACGTGGAGGACCCCTGATGGATGCACACAGACAGACACAAACACAACCTAGGTCTATCTCTCTCTCCTCTGTGTGTGTATGTGTGTGTGTGTACCTTGGCCTGAGGTCTCTGTCTCTGTCCATGCCTTCGTGCTCCTCGTGGTGTTCGCCCTCATCGTACTCTATGCGCTCACGACGGGGACCTGGACCGCGGCGGTCTGACGGACCAATGGAGCATCAGTAAAAGTGTGTTGCGTTGTGGTTTGATGTGGTTCGGTGTGGTGTGTTGTGTTGTGTCATCCATCCCCCTCACTCACCGCCTCTGTCGCGGTCTCTGGGGGCCGTGTACTGGTACAGGAATCCCGCGTCCTTGCGATGCCGGAGGCCCTCCGGCCGATGGATCTCGCAGTTGATTTGGTCGTGGTACGGCAGCCGGTCCTCCTCGTTTCGGTCAACACAACGAATCATTTCGTACAGCTCACTGCGCGAGTGGGCGGGGACGCCCTGGCCCGCACGCTCACCACCGCCGCCGCCCTCCTCGCCCTCGCCGTTGCCGTGGTGGAGAAACGATGGCCCGCGGCTCCACGCGCTGCCCTGTGAGTTGAGCCGCTCGATGCGGTCGGATGCATCGGGCGAGGCGGGGGAGCCGGAGAGAGCGGGGAAGTCTCCCTGGGCCTCTGGCGCACCGCTGGCACGGGGGGATGGCTGGCCTCCGACTCCATTGACCACCTGGGATGGTCCTCTCGGCCCGCCGGCTGTCCACGCATGCGTGGTCGGGGTTGGATCGATCATCATGGCGCCGACGGCTTGCTGCCTCGCGGCGCAAGGTCGACGATGCCAAGACAGGGAGCTCGAGGGGTGTGTCGGTTACACTGCCGCTGACAGCGCTGGGTCGGTCTCCCGTCGGTCTCTGCTCGATGGATGGGCAAATGCCGAAGGTGGAAGGGAGTGTCGCTTCAGATCAAGGAGGGTAGAGGGGTCGGGGGATGCTCTACTACACGAGCTGCTTCGCCTCGCCGCGGCACCGCCTCGCCTTCGCTCCAACAGTTCTTTCAGACAAAGAGTCTACTACTCGACGTTGCAGTGCATACGCGCCTTTAAGCCAGTGCACCATCCTTTTTGTTTTTGCGAGCTCAGATTTGATGCGAGCTCAGGAGGCGTGTCAAGATCTCTCTTGGCTTCACTTGTTGTGGGTGTTTAGACATTTTCTAGCCTGTAGCGAGTGTGTGTGTTGAACCTGCCGAGGCTGAGCGAACGAGATCAAGCAGGTGGGTGGAACGTGCAGGCAGACAGGCGTGTTGATTCATGGAGATGGCGAGCCAGGCAGGCTGAGACAGTCGTCGGAGGCGAACGAGGAAGGGCGAGGAGGGGGGAGATGCGCCAAGGGGAAATGCATGGGAAGTGCATGCGTTTGGCGCATGTGTGTGTCTTTCCTGCTGTGTTTGGTCAGATTGGTTGCGCGTCGTGATTCCCCGGGGAGCGTAAGGGCTTTCGCCCCTCCCTTGCGCCATGTCGGGCCGGAGACACACACACAAAGGTACGGCCACGCACAGCCCACATGCGCCACATGCGCACCAACACACCTCCCCCGTCCATCCCAGCCTCACATGTCATCCCACACCCTCCAACACCGACACCACACACCACTGCACACCCATACCCACCCGAAACACGCCTCCACAAACCGCACCACACGTCGATCGTGTCCTGCCTCCAAACATGGTGTCTTGTGTGCGTGTGTGGGTGTGGCGCGGGTGGTTGCAGGCCCCTCCCCTGTTGGTAGTGGCGATGGCGACTTATCCGAGGCGCAGCAGCAGCCCTCATTCTCATCGGCGGCGTCGCCATCTTCGGGCAGTGGTCAGCCGTTGATGGAGATAGATGATGGCTGGTGGATGTTTTGTGTGTGGGGGTGATGTGTGGGTGCTATGTAGGGGGCGAGCGACTACCTAGCACCACCAACAACAGCATCAACACACGCCAAGACACACAGACACAGACGCAGACGCAGACGCAGGCGCAGACGCAGGCGCAGACGGAGGCGCAGCAGCAAAACATCAACACTGCTGGTACGCCACTTGACCTCACGTATGTCTGCAACAGCCGTGACGGTGTGTGTGTTCATGCAGGCCCGTTCCGCCGTCTCGATCGAGGTATTCTCGCCAACAGGAACGCCCAGAGACTGCCCGGCACACCACAGAACCACCTGCGAGCATCCATTCGGCGTCCGTGTGTATGTGTGTCGTGTGGTGTGGTGTGGTGTGGTGTGGTGTCGTGTGATTGCTCAGGCCTTCAGCAGCAGCAACAGGGGGAGGTTCAGGGTGGCGTGGGCATGGAGGTCAAGCATCAGCGTGAGTTGGAGGCACAGCGCAAGATGCTGCTCGCGCCCCGTATGGCCTCTCACAAACGAGACGACCACTTCGCCAGACATGGTGCGCAGACACACGAAGGAGGCGGGGGCGGGAGGCACGTGCGCGTCATCCGTCACCTAATTATTGCGTCTGTTGTGTGTGTTGTGGTGCGTGTCTGCACAGGTGGTCCGTCGATCCTCTTCAGTCGGGAGATCGACATTCTGTCCCCGCCGGGCAGTCCCACCCCACGCAACATCAACCGCATCCCAGGCCGCACTGGCCCTGGCCCTGCTGACCACCAACATGACTACAACTACGGCCGGCGTGGCAACAACAACGGGGGATCGCCGTCCCCCCCGACACAGCCCACAGCCAAGCCAAAGCAGCCACAGGGTGGCGGTGGCGTGCAGCGGCCCGCTGCTGCCGCTGCTGCTGGTGGCATTTCCCCCCTTCCATTTTTGCAGCGCAACACCGCTGGTGGCGGCGGGGGAGGGGGAGGGGTGGGTATTGGCCGCGGCAGGGGCAGAGGCATCACACCGAACAACAACAACAACACCAATACACGGGCCACAGGTGGGTTAGCACACAAAATCACAGCACACACTCACACACGTGGCCAGAGAGAAAAGGCGAAACCAGCTCTCTCTCTCTCTCTCTCTGTGTGTGTGTGTGTGTGTGTGTGTGACTCCTCAGGCCTTCAGCAGCAGCAGCAGCAGCAGCAAGAGGGGGACGATCAGGGCGGCATGGCCCCTAATCGGAGTGAGGTGGAGAAACTGCGCAAGTTTCAGGACTGGTGCCAGCAGATGGAGGACCAGCAGATGATGGCGCGTGTCCAGGCCGAGAAGAGAGAGCTGCAGGAGAAAGGCGAGCGCCGCGTGGCCTCTCACAAACGAGCCGACGATCGTGCCAGAACTGGTGCGCAGACACACGAAGGAGGCGGGGGCGGGAGGCACGTGCGCGTCAACCGTCACCTAATTGTTGCGTCTGTGCTGTCCGTCTGTTGTGTGTGTTGTGGTGCGTGTCTGCAGCCAAGGATAGATCACCGCCGCCAAGCCCGCGTCGAAGCGGCTATACTGCTGCTGCTGCTGCAGCAGCATCGTCGTCATTCTCTGCGTCAAGCCCGTCATCATCCCGCCCAAAAGAAGTCACCCACGCCCTCGACGGATACGTCGATCGCGTGCACGGGACGGTGGATTTCAGCGAGAGCGCGGAGGGGACCGTCATATGCAACATCAAGGGCACCGTGATGCAGCGTGACGGAGAGCGCTATAGGCACCTGGCGACGCCCATTCGCCTCGACGTGGGTGCGCCGAAGCCCGCCAGCGGAATGCCACAGAAACCGTTCGGATCCGTCAGGTGAGACACGAAAGACGAGCCGGCGAAATGGGATGGATGTGCGGATGTTGGTGTATGTGTGGTGTGTGTGTGGTTCAGGTGCTACGCCATCGTGGATGGAGAGCTGTGCGAGTTCCTGCTCCATCCGCTGCGCAACATGGTCGAGTTTGATGTGGCGGGCAAGCAGTCCGGAGAGAAGTGCCCTCTCGTGCTCTCATTCGAGCACGTTGATGAGACGCTCAGGTGCAGGGATGTCGACATGGTGGAGATCGACGCCTCGTTCGTCGACCACAAAGGGCAGCCGGGACACACACTTACGTAAGCACACAACACACAACACACAACACACGCACACGTGCACCGACACTCTCACTCATGCGCGTGCACCTCTCCTTCTGTCCAGATTTCTTCTCGACACCAACCCGTATGATCCCAACAGCATGGCGATATTCAACCTGAACGGCCAGGGCTACTCGTTCCGCAACGCCAACGAGCGTCGGCGTCTGCTGAGTGTGACCTTCTTGTCGCCGAGCCGAGAGATCTTCATCCAAGGCAGCCCCACGACCAGCAGCACAACGTTCAACGTCGACCTGCGGATTCAGATCGGGCGCACCTTCATCATCGGCACCCTCGCCGACACAAAGGATCTTCGTGACAAGGAGCCGACGGTGCAGAGGGACGGGAAGGGTAACCTGTTCACCGCCAAAGCGTCCGAGCTGAGCGACACGAGCACTTCAGTGGCAGGCGGCGACACGATGCCTTCAGGGGCAGGCGGCGACGACCGCAACGACTGCGACGAGGACGACCAGGACGACGGGACCGCGCCGGACTGGTTGAACCAGGAGTTGAGCATCTCCTTCAGTCCGCCGGACGACCGACTCATGGACAGCTACACCGCTGCCGCGTCGGTGCCGGATCGAACAGCCGAGAGGGTGGAGGATCGCTGTGGGACTGTGCAGGTTCATGCATCCTATCGGGTGCTGGACCCAGTCAACGACCAGGACGACCGCGGCACGGCAGGCGCTATGTGGGATCCGCTGGCTGTGGGTGCCTTCGGGCGGGCTGGTGCTGGTGACGACGGTGGTGGTGGTGACGACGGTGGTGGTGACGACGGCGGTGGTGGGGACGACGACGGTGCGGACGACATCGTGCCTCGTGACAGTGAGCTGACGGTGTGCGACAGCACCTCATCCCCACCCCCACACGTGGCCGTCAGCCGGACGGCACACGGACCGTCTGGTGGTACCCGCCGCGGCGTGATCGCGCCGGCGGCAAGCCCATGGTCCCGTGAGTCTGTGACTCGCGGGCCGCCTGCGTCCGTCCCGCACTCGCACTCACGGCCACAGTCCGACTCGCCCCCGTCCCACACCACCGCCGAGCGCTTCCTGGACGGCGTTCACTTGACGTCGCCAATCCCTGTCCACCCAGTGCACCATCGGGTGTCGATGGGACGCAGCGGTTCGATAGTGGGCGGCAGCAGCACATCCAAGCTGAGCGTCGGTGGTGGTGGAGGGGCACGTGGTCAGGTGCGTCATGACGATGCGAGTCGCCGTGCCAACGACCTGGGACTCATCTTCCCCCCCGTCACCGCATCACCCAGGGTCCCCCCAAGCGCACCCAGCCCTACACGCCAGCCACAGACAGCTACCCATCACCGTGTCCAGGCAAGGTCACCGGCTCGCCACAACTGAGCACGGACCGACGAGGACCTGTGCAACAGCCCTCATCCTTCGACCACGGCCGGGGACGATCTGATGATGGCCTCTCACCCTTCTCGTCGCTGAATGGTGCCAGCGGTGGCCCCAGCCGCAGCGGCGCACCGACCACCGTCCAAGCACCCCCCTCTCCCATCGACCCCCACCCACACAGCAGCACATCGGCCCTGGACGGCAAGGGCATCAACCTGGGGTCTGGGCCATCCTCCTCACTCCTGCATGGTGGCGGCGACAGGCGCGCCAGCCCCCGTGGGCGCGACAGGGGTGAGGAGAGGCGTGACCTCGACGGACACAACAGGGCCAGCCACCGTCGCCCTTCTCGCGACGTCTTCGGCGGCTCCCCCGGTCGTCCCGTGGGGGGCGGGGAGAGGGAGAGGGGGGCGCCCGTCACGAGGAGCGGCGGCACACAACGGCAAGGACAGGAATCGACTGGCACCAGGATGACGCCTGAGGGTGGCGCAGGTGGCACTTCCCCATCGGTGTCTGCTGGGACGCTGCATGCCATCTCAGCCACCGTCACGACCCCCTCCAGCAGCGCGTCTACACCAGCTGTGCCAAGTGGCGCCGCGTCGGCTGACCAGAGGAGCGGCCGGAGGGCTGACGTCCGGTGCAGTCGATCGGGCAAGCCCCCGTCACCATCACTACGACCACCACTGCAACCACCACTACCACCAGCACACAGCCGCTTTTCAGCGTTGGAGCCCAGGTGATGGTGAGGGGGACAGGCGCCGGGGCGTACGCGGGCGCGGCTGGAGTGGTGACAGAAATCCGGGCTGATGGCCGGTGAGCGAGAGAGGGAACAGGAGAAGGGGATACACAATGGGGAATACATCGATTCTCTCTGTATCCGTGCAGCTACAATGTGTGTTTCCGCGGCGCACACAAGCACCTGGCCGACAAGCCATTCTTTGAGAAGGACCTCAAGGCAAGCACATACAAGCCCATCTCTCAAGCCACCCTCGCGAGCCTCAAGAGGGGCCACAAGAAGCGCTGACAAACTCAACACACACATACTCACACAGGACAGGTGCGCTACCACCAGAGGAAGAGATGGATGACACATTAGCGTATGTATGCATCTCCCCTCTGTGTGGTTGTGTCAGGGAGGGAGGGAGGGAGGGAGGGAGGGTGGCGACGTCATACCTGCCGTACTGACCTGACTGCCTGACTACTCACTCACTCACTCACTCACTCTTGACGTGCCTGATGCATGGAGGGGGTCGATGATCTGCTGCTGGTGCTGGTGCGGGCTGTCGGGTGAGGGACCGAGAGGCCTAGGTTGGCAGGGCGGTGCAGTGGGCTGCGGTGTGGCGGATACACAAACAGACAGATGGACAGACAGACAGACAGACAGATAGGCGGGCGGGCCTTTCGTCCAGTCTGCCTGTCTGCCAACCTATTGCCTTCTTTCTTCGACATGAGATGCACAGAGAACCCACCCGGCGATGGTTTTGCATTGCATAGCCAGAGGGGGATGGCGCCACCATGGACGGACGGATGGATGGATGGATGAGTGGTGGTGTGTTGACCTAATGAGCGGACAAACAGATACATACATGGATCAGCCCAATCGATGCCTCTTGGTATGGCGGCTTTTGCCTGTGAGTGTAAGTGACGACCTGCCTCTCTCTCTCCTCTGTGTCCCTCACTGTCTCTCTCCTTCTGCCTGTCTGCCTGTCTGCCTGTCTGCCTGTCTGCCTGTCTGCCTGTCTGCCTGTCTGCCTGTCTGCCTGTCTGCCTGCCTGTCTGCCTGTCTTCCCTATCGCCCGACAAGCCGGCAAACAGGCAGGCACATTCGTGGCCATTCAAAAGAGACTCTTCGCCTTCGCATGATGAGCTGGATTGACACCGTCTTAGTCTCTTGGCTGTGATGTGGCCGCTATACCGTCCGTCGTGCCATACTCACCCTCCCGATCTCATGCTTCTCTTACCTGTGGGTGCATGCAGAGGGACTCGATGTCGATCGATGCATGATGTGATGTGTGGTGTGGTGTCTCTGCCTAGAGCCTTACCTGCATTATGGCTGACTTATCACCTTATTGCTGGCGCAGCTGGCTATCGCCAGAGCGCCGATTGGTGTATCCGCACTGCTTGGGTGTGGTGCTTTTGCCTAGGGTCTTACTTGACAGACAGCGGCGGACAGACGAGTCGGGTGGGTGGTTTTGCCTAGGTGGTCGCTCGCTCGATAAATGCGACCCATCCTTTTTGCGTGTCACCCCCTATAAGGCGTGTGTCATGTGACATACTCCTCCATGTGCGGACAGACGGCAGGCAGAAATACTAGAGTCCTGCCGTCTCCCTTCATTCCTCCCTCCTCTCGTGTCTCGTCTCTTCCTTCTTCCCTCTCATGCCTGCCTGCCTTTCAGACAGACAGATAGACAGACAGACAGACAGAGACAGAGGGATCAGGGCTGTGCTAGTCTCATGCTCATGTGCGGTGGTTTTGACCCCAGCAATGACCACGGACCAATCAATGCATGGGGTGGGTGCATGGGGTGGATGGACAGGCAGACGGAGGATGGATGTATTCTATTTGCTGACCCTCTCGGTCACACGCATGATGTCCTTCCTTCTTCCGTCCGCCCGTCCATCCAGTCAAGTGACCTCTGTGAAGCCAGCGTCTGGTCTATCCTTGTGCTGCCGTGTGATTGAATGTGGTGTAGTGCCATCTGGCGTTGGTTCTCTCTCTCTCTCTCTCTGTGCACCATTGGTCTCTGGTCTCGTTCTCGCTCTCTCTTTCCTCTCGTTTCGTCTTTTTCGGATGTCGATGCCGGCCAATGCATTCTCTCTCTATCTCACTGCCTCTCTCTTCCTTACCGTCCCTCGGCCAGACAGACGAGGGGGGGGGCCCGAGGGAGTCTGACAGTGTCTTCTCCTCTCTGCGTGTCGATCCTGTCAGCGATATGACGTACTGTGGCGTGTCTGCCTATCTGCTGCCTGCAATACGTGGTGTGTGTGTGTGTGTGTGTGTGCGCGTCTGCATGTACGGTGCTGTGCAGTGACGGCTCTCTCTCTCTCTCTCTCTTGCCTGTCAGTAAGAGGGCAATGCCACATGGTGTGGTGTAGTGTGGTGGATGGATGGGACCTAGCCATGGATGGATGGATGGATGGTGCTGCCTCCCTGCTGCGGAACATACAGGGAGCTTTTTGGAACCAGTCATGACAATATAGAGAGAGATGTTTGGCAGAGGAGGATGTAGCTTACCCATCTCACTGGCGGATGGAAGAGCGAATGGCTGCGCTTCTCATGCAATGCGACGTGTGGGGTGGGGTGGGGTGTCGGTGTCCTGCCTTCTCTTGCCTTGCGTGTCCTTCCCTCTGTCCGTGAGTGAGTGAGTGAGTGAGTGCGTGTCGTGTTGTCTTCGTGTGCATGTGTGCCTTCACGTGTGTGATGTTTTCACGTGTGGGATGACAAAAAAGACCAAAAATCAGGACAAGAAAATGCATTACATGCTGTCACTCCCCCTATCCCTCTTTGTAAATACTCTGCCTCGACTGACTTAGCTTCGGACAGACAGACAGACAGACGGAAAGACAGACAGACCAGGTTGGCAGTGGAATCATTCTAAGCGTCCTCTATGTCCGACAGCGTGGGGGCGCCTAGATGGGGGAAGTACCTTTTAAGTGGGCGGCCGGATGGCTGTCTATAGACAGCCGCTCGTGTGCATCATGATTCCGCGCCAAGACAGCTTCATGAGAACTCTGCCTTTATGAGAAAGGACGGACGGACGGACGGATGGACGCATGGAATGATAGATGGATGGATGGATGGTGTCTGCGGCGGGTGCTTGCTTATTTCTATCTGTCGGTCGGTATGTACACACGTATGCTGCCTTTTGCCCGCCCTTTCGACGGAAAGGAGGCTGGGCGGCACTGTCTACCTCACCTCTGTGTGTGTGTGTGTGTGTGAGGTGTGGAGAGAGAGAGAGAGGGTCGGTGGGTGGGGCAATTGAAGGATGGACCGGCCCCCAGTGAATCGCTGGATGAGCGGCCGATCCATCACACACGTACCCAATTCATCAATGCCTCGCCGTCCGTCGTTCTGTATACCAGGGCCTCGATGGCGGTCGATGCATGATGTGCGCTGTTTGTCCTGGTGTGGTGTGGAGTGGTGTTTCTGCCTAGTCTGACTGTGGGTGTCTCTCCCGTGTCAGTGCTGCGTGTGTCTGCATGAGGGTGCGGGGGGCGGCTTCAGGTGGGTGTATGGATGGATGGATGGACGGATGGACGGATGGTGCGACCTGTGGGGTGGGCGGGGATTGGGAGGGGAGGGAGGGAGGGAGGCGTAAGTTCGTCCTGGGTACAACGAACGTGCACTACAAGCGCATCGCTAGCCTACTACTGTACGACGACATATGGATCGGTTCATGTGGTGGATATGGCGGGTTTGCTGGATGTGGTGGATACCGTATTGATCGTATTGACTGTATTGATCGCAACGACACGCATGTGAGAACTGACAGACACATGGGTGTAGCTAGACCGAGTACTTATGGCTCATATCACCCTTCGATGGCGCCAGAGCACGACTGGCGTGTGGCAGCTAGCTAGTTTGTTTCTTTCTTAGCCAGCTGCGCGAACAAGGAGCCAACACGTAGATGTAGCGGAAGGGCTCGGGGGGAGGGGGGGAGGGGGGAGGGGATGGGTGACATCTTTAAGTACTTCCTTCTACCCTGCACTGGTGCGTGAGTGTTGCGAGGGTCTTGCTGCCCTCCCAACAGGCCACGTCAGAGAGAGACAAACGGAGAGTCTCGATGGCCCTTTTGGCACTTGCCTAGCTCTCGCTTTATGAGCCGACGTGTACCCATGACTACTGTGATTAGCGGGCGAGCGGTTCTTCTGGCTGACCTGTCTGTCTGTCTATCTGCCAGCTCACAACAAGTCCCTCCGCCAGACAGACAGAGAGGCCAGGAGGATCGCTCACCTCCCTCTGCGTGACAGACCCGGCAGAGGTGTCGGCGTTAAGCATGCCGCCTGTTTGGGTATGTATGTTGCCAAGCCTAGCCTGTCGTATCGCTTTTTGCTGTGTCGTGTCGCACCCCACCCACACCCACCCACCCCATCTGTGTAGAGAAAGGTGCGGTGTAGAAGGGTTCTTTTCGCACCTCTCTCTGATATATGTGTGTAGCGATGTCTGTCTGTATATACGCTCATCCGCGCTCTCCCTCTGTCTCCCCTTCTTCTCAGCCCCGCCCTGCTCTCCTTTGCTGTGCATAGCTATATATATATCGATATCGACTGCGTAGACACGCCACCTGACCTGATCTGATCTGCTGGACAGACGATTCATACAAGCGCTCGGATTGATTGAAACGTACGTATGCACATCAGAAAACCGACGAGTGACAGCCCCCACAGATGACACCCCCACCCCCACAGCTGTCTCATGCAAGCGCACTGACGAAACATGCCAAGCAAGGCCTGGCCCGTCTCGGTAGGCCGATATCTCGCTCAGTTTGGTTGGGTCAGTTACTCTTGTTGGTTGGGGAGCGTTTCGTCACATGCAAATGAATTGATTTCTGTCAAATGGCACCATTGGCGCATGAAGTGTCGCAACAATCAGAAACGTCCATTCACCGAGCTGCAGCGAGCTGTACAGCAGCACGTACAAAACGCCCCCCGCGCCCTCATGTCCACTCATGCAGACGCACCTAAACCATGACAAATGCTCTGTGCACACACATATGCGACCCCGAGTACCGCCCAACCGATCAGACGCTGCCCGCCGCCTCACGTGTCCCCTCCTCGCAGTCAAAAAATTGCTGCTGCTGCTGCTGCTGGCCACCTCTATGACCGTTCCCATCACCATCACCAGCACCATTGCCCCGCCCCTTGTCGTCGCCATCTTTGCTGTCCTTCCTCTGTTGACTCGACTCGACACGTGCGGCGGCCACGTCGACCACAGGTGGGACGGGAGGGTCGGGGGGGTAGTGTGTGGGCGGGGAGCCGTCGCTGTCGGTCTGTGTGGTCTGCGTGTGTGCCGGGGAGGGGGCGGGGAGGGGGTACTTGCCGTTGGTGGCGAAGGGGTCGCCCAGGGGGTAGTGGGCAGCGGGGTCCGACCGAGGTCCCAGCTCACGCACGTCATAATAATAGAAGCGGATCCACGGGTCCGTCTCCAGCAACTGAACAGACAGAGAGAGGGAGGGAGAGGGAAGGAACTTGTCTTTCGTTGCTTTTGCGTGTCGCCTGGCTCGCTCGTTCACTCACTTGTCTGGCCGTGTGTCGGTGAGCGGGATCCACTGCCAGCATCTTCCGCAGTGTGTCCTTGACGGTCTCGATGAGAGGAGGGACGGCCGGCAAGACCTGCCCGTTGTGCACACACGGGTGCCTGAACAGCCTCTCAAGCCAGTCGGGGTCACCTAACATGGCGAGGATCTCCTGCACAGGCAAGCAAGCGGAAACACGTGTGTGTATCAGGTGACCACATCGTCGTGCTTGTTTGTCTGCTCGCCTGTTCGGTTTTGCCCGCAAAGGGGGTGTGGCCGCGGAGCAGCTCATAGAGGAATATGCCTGACAGACAGTGTTCAGCACGGGTGGGCGCAGGAGTGACCAACACCACGGAATGTGAGCTTTCTCAATCAAGAGCTGTAAGTAACCTACCTAGCGACCAAATGTCGATGGCAGGGTTGTTGGTGTACGGCGTGCCCCGCAATATTTCCGGAGCCATATATTCGATCGTGCCACACTTGTCCGTCCTGCAATCACACCACACCACACACACATTCATCCCAGGTGAATCATTTCACACCTACACCCACGCACCTGATTTGTTCAACAGCGGCGCTCCAGCCGAAATCGGTGATCTTGAGGGTCGGGAAAGGCCTCATGTGCTGCCGGCCGTCTCGCTTGAGCAGGAAGTTATCGGGCTTCAAATCGGCATGCGTATATCCCCTGACCAGAAACGAGCAGACTCAGCGCAAACATGCACCTGTGTCTGCCTTGTGTCTGCCTGTCTGTATGGTTTACTTGTCGTGTATGTGTGCCGCTCCGTCGAGAGCCTGCCCCAGGTACCACCCCGCCAGCCATGCCGGCAGGCACCTCGTGTCGCCATAACGACTGACCGATCAATGACACACACACACAAAGTATCACTCCATCCACTCATCCACGTCTGCCGCCCTCACCAGTAAGTGCTGGAGGGGAATGTGATGAACGGCCCCTTGTCGCACCACTCCATAATGAGGAACCACTTGGCTACCGGCCGCTGCAGGGGCAGCGTGGGCAGGCTGCTCGTCATCATCATGGACTGCTCCGCGGCGTCCCCCATCCCACCGCATGGTGGTTGGTGGGACGGGAGGCGGTCGGGGATGCTCGCCTTGATGACCCGGTGCAGCCGCACGACGTTGTGGTGATCCAGGGACTGCTGAATCGTCACCTCGTTCTCCAGCTGTCACATCACACATGAAGCAGCCAGCCCATTCCTGTGTCGTGTTATGTGTGTGCTCTCTCTCCCTGGCTCACTGACCTGTTTCATCATGTCCCTGTCGATGAGTGGCTGCAGCTCGACCACTTTGATGGCGCACATGGAGGCATCGCGCTTCCTGCAGCCCTTCAGCACTACACCATACGCACCATAGCCCACCACATCAGGCGCACCACGACAGTCACGCTGCAATCAACACACAAGAACCAACACACACAGACCAGTCGACTCACGCCCACTATGATTCGAATCACGTGCTCACCACGACATCAAGCTCTTCCTCGAACTCCCGCGGGAACACCTCGGGCACCTTTGTGAGGCACCGGGACGCCAAATCGCCCTCCCACCCCACCCGCATGGCCTCCAGCGCCGCCACCCCCACCGTGTGGTACATCATGTGCACCCGAGCCTGAGCCTCACACAAGGCCGATACAGGCGGCATCTGCAGCGGCAACATCGGATACGGCCGATAGTGGTACGCCCGCCTCCTGGCTTCCTGCCGCTGCGCATCATCCAGGGGGGCTTGGGCGGGCCGGGCCGCTGCTGCCGTAGGTGGCGGGAAGACCTGTGCGACTGGGTGGATGGGCAGCAGCGGGACGGGGTAGGGATATGACAGCGGCAGAAGTGGCGGTGGGTGGCCATGGGGAGGGTGCTTGTGCGGGGCTGGCACGGGGGACTCCGGAAGCATCGCTGTCAGACACCCTTTCCGAGGACGGCCGCTTTCGCTCGACATTTGCCTCAATCCATCACCATGATATACGCTGGCACCATTGGCTGATGCAAATCACAGCAGTTCTGCATATTTTTGGTTCTTCCCACTCGAGCTCGCCATCACTGCGAGCTAAGCGTGCGGTGAAAGGAAAAAAGGGGAAGGAGCCGAGATGAAGGCTCGGTTAGGCGGCATGTGGGGATCTGTGCTCGTGGTGCTCGAACTCTCGAGGGCGGCACTGGCATGGAGACCTGGTCAGCCAAACAAGCAATACGCCTGCTGCTGGCAGATCTACTCACTGCTTGTATGTTTGGTGTGCTCTGTGTTGTTTGGTGCAGCGTTTGTGCGCCCGCCATCCTTGTCGTCCTCTTGTGCATCTCTTTCATCGCCCCACAGGGTGTGTCAGCAGGCCTTACAAGATCTGCCCACGGCACGGCAGCAGCGCGTGTGTGTGTATGTATCTGTGTGCTTGCGTGCCTCTCCTTCTGCCTGCAGCGATTGGCCTCGCACAGCGGCTCTCCTCCATCACTGGTGCGGCGGCATCGACCATCACGACAACAACGCTGGTCTGTGTTGCGCATGGCGGCTGGTCTTGACGTCGACCCCAGCGAGATCTCCAAGCCGGAGGTCGATCCCGACCTGGGCAAGATCCCTTTCCGCAACATCGAGGTCGGCATGTACCTCGACGGCTTCGTGACGGTACGTGGGATGGATGCCATGAGTAGCGCACTTTCTCTTTCTCTTTCTTTCCCGTTGTCTGTGTACAGCGCATAGAGGACTACGGCTGTTTTATCGATGTTGGCTCAGAGCGTCCCGGTCTGGTGCCGATTGCTGACCTCTCCGACACGTATGTGGCCAACGTGCGCGACTTCGTCAAGATCGGCGAGAAGGTGGTGGTCAAGGTCGTCCGCAGAGACGTCAACAAGCGGCAGCTCGCATTCACCATGAAGACAGGTATGTAGGAAAGGAGCGAGGAAGGAGTAGTGAGTGGCCAAGCATTGCCGTGTTGTGTTGTCTTGTCTTGTGCAGGTCTGACCCGTCAAGATGTGCTGAATCGCATCACGGCAATGAGTCCCGAGGACACCACCACGGGCGTGGTGTCGAGCATCAGGGACTTCGGCGTCTTCCTCGACCTCGGTGCGGGGGTGCAGGGCCTCCTGCACAAGAACCAGATGGGTCTGCCCGAGGGCGCCACTCCCGATTCGACCTATAACCTGGGGGACAGTGTGAAGGATGTGCGCGTCATCAACATCAACTCCGAGACCAACAGAGTGGCGCTGACCAAGCTGCCGTACGACCCCAAGAACCAGATGGAGATGGAGGAGCGACTCAAGATGGCTGAGGAGAGGAAGAAGAGGGTATGCGCTTTGCTTGTGGGGTGGGGTGGGGTGGGGGAAGTGGGGTCAGGCCACACACACAGACACACAGACACACAGAGAGGAGGGTGTATTGTGTGTGTGTGTGTGTGTTGGTTGGTCGGTGCAGGAGGCTGAGATGCAGACGGTGTACAACAAGGTGTACGAGGAGCTCGCTGACGCCAACCCCAAGGAGACGAGGAAGGGCAAGATCACAACGGTAGGTAGCTCACACAGGACATATATAACACACAAGACAGACACAACACCTGTGCCCTCCTCCCTGTGTGTCTGTGTGTCCACCTATCAACCAGGTGACCTCTCTGGGCGTCTGGGTGGGGGTGCACGATGACGTCCAGGGCCTTGTCCACCGCTCCAACATCCCCGACGTCAGGCCAAGGACCAACCTCACGGTGAGCAGACAGGCAGGCAGGCAGGCAGACAGGTGTGTCAGAGGGAAGAGGAGAGAGAGAGAGAGAGGGAGAGAGGTGATGACAACGATAATCCCAGCTCGCTGTCGTCCCATGCACTGCCATGGGCACTTGGAGAGAAACACATTCTCACGTTCAGTTGCTGATTGGCTCTCAGACAGACAGACAGACAGACGGATAGATGCCCTCGCCAAAAGCGCACATATCACTTCGCCCGTGTCTGTACTGTGCGTGCAGGCGATGTTCAAAGTGGGCGACGAGGTGACCTACCGCGTCATTGGTGCCGAGCGCCTCACCAACCGGCTGCGCGTGGAGCTGTCGATGCTGCCTTACGACCCCAGTGAGGAGATCGACGTCGAGGCGCTTGTCGCAGAGGCAGAGACCAAAATGTATGTCAGTCAGCGAGAGGGAAAGAAATGAGGGCCGCGATATATGTGGTCTGATGTCACTCGCCCCCTTGTGCTGTGCGCTGTCTGCTGGTGTGGTGTGCAGCCAAGGTCAGGACACCGGTCTTGCCGAAAGCCTCAAAACCACCGGTCGCGTGTCTGCAAAGGTCACCCACCCACCCATCCATCGACCCATCCCACCCACGCATACGCATACGCATTAGTCGATGGAAATGGTGTCACGGTGTGCTGGTTGGTTGGTTGGTTGGTCGTTCAGATCGTGGCCTACGACGAGGACTTCCTGTACATGGAGTTGTCTGACAGCGGGCTCATTGGCGTGATGCCCATCGAGGAGCTCAACGTCGACACACTTCCCTCAGACGCCGGACTCAACACCACACTACAGGCACGACACACAGCAAGCCTCTCTCTCCCCGTCCCCCATACACCCATCCCCCTCTCCCTCTCCCTCTCTGTGTGGCCACCAGGTGCGCCTGAAGAGCATCGTGACTGACCGCGAGGAGCCCGAGGTCAAGTACCTGTACCTCACCCAAGAGCAGGGCGGGTTCTTCGACGAGGCCCAACTCACAGACACCGGCAAGGAGGACAGAAGGAAGCGCCCACAACCACCAGCGGACGAAGAGGAGGAGGCGCCCGAGGCTGAGGGCGAGGGCGAGGAGGACGAGGTGATGGCTGCCAAGCGTCGACGTCTGATGGCCATCCGCAACCGTCGGCAGCGGATGGAGCGGTTCAAGGCGGGACAGGAGGACGACAGGCGGGCTGGGGGGCGCAGAGCCGGCGGGGAAATGAGACAAAGCAGGGTACGCACACAACACAAGACGGAAGCCGCCAGTGGGGTGGTGTGCTCGTCCATGTGTGTCCGTGTGGATGGGTCTGTTTGTTCTCAGGAGGAGAGGCAGTGGGAGGCGGACAAGTGAGAAATCCACGCAGCCTTCTCTCTCTCGATCCTGTGTGTGACACGTTCTGTATTTGTGTGTGTGTGTCAGTGCGGCCGCGCTGGAGGAGTATGATCTGGTGACCATGCTGGGCAAGGAAGGCTACAAGCAGCTGCAGAAGAAGAGAAGGGCCGCTATCGACATTGAGGTGAGGCTGCACCCCTCACCGACACGCACAGACCTTCCACATAGAGAGGCACTCACTCATTGACTCTGTCTGACTGACACCATCCATCAGAACATCCGTCTCGAGTATGAGAACCTCGACTTCAACGGCAGCTACGTCCTTGGCCGTAAGGGCATATACACACAGGCAGATACACACACACCGACACACTTGTGGGTAATGCTTTGTGCAGTGTTCGACAACGTCCCCGACACGGACGACGCTGCGGTGATTGAGAAGGCGCTGCGCGAGAACCAGAAGCGGCTGGAGATGAACGTCAGGCACCTCAAGAGAGTCGACCCCGAGGCCCTCAAGAAGCGGGCCGCGGTCGCCGTCGGAGACGTGAGCAAATGGCATGACATCCAGCCACAGATCAATCGATGTGACACGGACCTCTGTGCGTGCACGTGTATGCGTGTGCCATGCCATTGTTCAGTTGGTGCGGGCGCAAAACCAGCAATACGACCCTCGCGCACTGCAGTTCCTCGACGAGGTCATGGAGGAGGAGTTTGACGAAGGTCGGCAGCCATACGCACCCCCCACGCACACACGTGTACGTTGTGCGCATGTGTCAAATCGTGTGTGTCCCATCCATCAGTTGAGCTGGCCCAGTTCCGCAAAGAGTATGAGGAGTTCGTCGAGAACGAAGGTCAGGACGCAGGCATCGCATCTGATGTGCATATCCATTCACTCGTGTGATCTGTCTCGTCCCTCCCTCTCTGATCCATGCCATGCCATGCAGCCAAGGAGATCCAGGAGCGGCTGCAGGACCCCGAACTGCCGGCGGGAGGTGAGGGAGAGATGCCGAACACACGCGCGCATACGCACCTGTGCAGCTGCATTCCTTCATGAATGGATGTCGTGGCGTTCGTTGTGTGCAGAGCGGCTGAAGCTCGAGGCTGCCCTCGACGACATCGAGGGATACATCGTCGGTACGTCAGACGGTCATAGACACAGAGAGAGAACCACAATGCGGGCAGCTTCGAGACGAATGTGTGTCCGTGGCTGGTGTGTGTTCGTAACTACCACGGTTCCCATTCAGAGGCGGGCAAGGACGACCCATGGGAGGTGATCCGCAACATTCAGACCCAGACAGAGGGCGAGCAGGACATCATCCAAGACATCATCAGGGACGAACTCAACAGGGAAACACTCCTGGTCAGTCCACACACACACTTACACCCACAGCGCCAAGCACCCAACCGCACACACACACACACACACACACCCTTGTGTGTCCTTTCGATCCACAGATGCCGTCCCAGATCCCGACGATGGACGAGGTGATGGGATGGGGCGAGGAGGGCGCCAAGCAGCGTGCGAGGAGCAGGGGAGGGTTCAGACAGCAGCGGGAAGCCGAGGCGATGTCGCGCAAGGCCAAGGAGTCGGCGGGCATCCTCATGCCACCAGCGCCAGAAGACTACTCGGACGAGACAAGCACTTCCGCCGAAGGAGCCGTTGACCGTAAGCTTGATCTATCGCACTCACTCAGAGAGGGCACAGCGAACCGGGGTGTCACCATGGGAAAAAAAGCAATGAATCGGTGTGTTGCTGTACTGTGGTGTGGGTGCCTTCAGCTGAGGAGCTGGCCATGGCCCAGGTTGAGAAGTACGACAGCATGCTGAGAACGTAAGCGAAGACCAACAAAGGACGGCACACTTGTGTTCGTGTCCATGTGTGTGTGTGTCACGAATGGCAGGCTGCTGAGTTCCAAGGTCAAGCAGCAGGAGGACGACACCGTCGACCTCATCGACGTGGCGCTGGACCCCCAGCTGAAGCGGGACGCCATCGAGCTGAGGGGCGAGTGGCAGGGGCACACTGTCAAGATACCTATACTCAAAGACTGATTGGTGACTGAGGGCCACATGGATATCGCACCGATGGGTGCATGCGATGCGTGGGTGCGTGGGCCTTGAAGAGGCCCGATTTCAATGGTCGGTTGGTCTGTGGAATGAAGCGAGGCTGTGAGGGAGGAGCGATGTATAGTTGGACATCTGACTGCGTGTCGGCACCTCTCGAACTTATTTCGGGAGAGATCCGTGTGCCTGGCTGTGCATGTCTATGCCTGTCTGTGAGAGTGAGCGAGACTGAGTTATTTTTCTCCCTCCCACCTCTCAACCACGCGCATATGACTTACATACATACAAACGGTTTGTGTAAGTCATATGTCCACACCACACGAAGAATCCACCCACCCAAGCAAGACACACGCCACGCAGCATAGCATAACCGACAGCGGCAGCAAAGTTCATCAGTGCGATAGAGAGATCATGCGATCGGCGGGTGGGGTGGTCACTGTGTTGGCGTGGTGCATCCGATTCTTTCCCTGTCGGCTCCGAAGCCGAAGGTGGAGTACCAGGGCTGGTCGTCGGGGTCAGGATAGGTGCACAGACCTAAGACAGACAGATGGATGGACACACACAAGGCAGGCGGAGACACAAACACATTCCTACCGAAGGTTGTGTCTCGCCCCTCTCCCCTCACATCACCTGTGTCGATGGCCATCCAGTGCACAATGGCGTTATACGGGTACCAAGAAAACTCTGACACCCACACGCACACACACAGAGACAAACACAGAGAGAGAGAGAGGGCAACGAGTTACTGTCAGTCACCATGGGAGACAGCAGCTGTCCTGTCCGCCTTACGTGAGTCCAGTCTTCTGGAGTTGAGGACGAACCCCGATGTGGTGACCTTCTGCACGCTGACGGCAGCAATAGGCCCCGCATCATGCTCCTCGTCCTTGGCCACTCCCAGCGGATGGGGCAGCTCCACCGTCGCCCACACCTACACCATACACACCGAGGGACACACATACAAGGTGGGATACAAATCTCTCTGCCTGTCTCTGCAAGCCTACTGTTGGTGCATTGCTGAATTCTTGTCCTTTGGGGAATGTGATTTCGAGTTTCAGGGTCTCCCTGGCGATGTTGATGGCCACCTGGGTGCGGTTCTCAACTCCGACGAAGTCGGCGAAGCCTGACGGGATCTTCAGCCGGATCTTGTCGCGGCCGCGGACAGCGCCGCCAACCGGGTACAGCTCATATGTGGAGAAATCCATAGAGAAGGCCGCTGCATGGATGGACACAAAAGCGACACACATACGATACGTGGATGCCGCTCCCCTCCCCCCTGCAGGAATGCGCACAAACGTCCGTACATTCGGCTGGGAGTGCCATCCAGTCGACATAAACATGGTCGATGTCCGTCCAGCCCTGCTCCCTGCAGGAGGAGACGTCGACATTCAGGTCCACCCGCTGCAGCCGCACGAAGAACCGGTCCGTCTCCACCCGTCCCAAAGTGTGGGCGATGACCCCCTGGAAGTCGCCGCTCGTCCGCACCGTCACAAACACGATGGGCACCTCGGTGTACTTGTATCTGAAAGGGATCTCCACCGTCTTCCAGGGGAAAGAACCGCTCTCAGGTACGCGAGCAGAGCCTGTCTCGGCTATCCATGCACCTGAGGCCAGGCCAAAGGAACAAACAGCACGACGGAGAGGGGTGTGGGAAGGCCAGATGGGTGGGGGTACGGTACGTTTGGGGTATGGGAGCCACGACATGATGAGGTCGCTGTCCCATCCGTCGGGCACGCAGCAGGTCTTGTTGTAGCAGTCGATCATCCACACCCCCACGCGACGGCCGTCGTCACGCGGCGTCAACTGAGTGAGTGGGAGACACGCGTAACGACCGATGGATAAACGAGGTACAGAAGAGGTCTTGTTTGTCTCGGTGAGTGCTGACTGACCACAAATGCCGCCTCTGAAGGGTGACGCGACGTGGGGAAATACCTGCAAAGTCGCATGGACAAACACGTCTTGTCGTCTACTGTGCGGCTCGCGGACCTCCTATCGAAGTCGATGCCGAGCAGAGAGTCCGCTTGGAAGGCGTTGACCTCACGCCCGCGGGTCTGGCTTCTTCCGAGGTTCATCGAGAAGCGACCAAACCCGAAATGAGCACTGCCCACATCCTTCTCTGCAACGCGGCGCAGGATAGAAGACACATAGACGGGGGGAATGCCATTGCTACCTTGTTCGACGAAGTCGTTTGTGTTGTTGGGGCCGCCCTGTTCTGATGACAGGATCCGTGGCGGCCTAGTCATGAGTCGTGGGGGGATCTGGGGCATCAAGGGGGGCTGCTCCACCGCTATCTCCACCCCCCCGTCAGCCTCCACAAAGCTCATCACGGTCTGATTCTGGGACAGGCATGAGCACACAGAGAGAAATCGTTGGAGCATGGACTTAGGATGGCATCTGCGCATCTCTCTGACCTTATCCATGAGCATTTCATGCGCCTCTTCGGGGTTGAATGGCGGCTCGGCAGCCTCATTCTCTGTCTGCCCCCTGCTCTTGATGAGCGATATGTTCTGCTTTATCGATGACACCGGCAGCGGGCCATCCATCGTCTCGCCTCCAACAGCAGCATCCTTTCCCTCGGCTTCCTTACTGGCTGCCGCCGCCCCTTCAACTGCAATGGAGTAGTTCCTGGGCGAGGAGGTGATGCTGAGGAAGGTGCTCGACACCAACGCAGGGTCGGGCTCGATGCCGCCGCGGTGGCCGGATGCGCCGCATGCAGCAACGGCAAGAAGGACCAACAGCAGTGGTCTCAGCATCCCGTCTGGAGGAGGGGAGGGAAGGAGGAAGTGGACCCAGTCCCCGGCGTCTGCGAGCTTAGCTCACTCGCGTGAAGTGGAAATCACCATGCTGGAGTCGTCGCTGCAGCGTGTCAAGGTGCGGCGAGTCCGTTCCCGCAAGAACAGCGACAAGCATTCTCGCCGTTCGCATCCCCACCCGCCCTACTCCCAATCCAGCAGCCATGGGGATGCCGACGAGGCATTGTCAGTTATATCCGTCGCATCGGGTCACTCAAGGCTCGAATCTGTCGAGGAATCGATGCCTCAGCAGCCCGTGTCCGACATTCATGTGAATGGTCAAGCGCATGAGCAGGAGGGCGAGGTGCAATGCGGGGAGGATGCGGCGACGCTGTCTAGCCAGTTTGCTGCCGTCGGTGCGGCTGAGGCCATCGGGGAGGGGCTGGATGGGAGATCAGGCGTGTCGAGTCCGCCAGAGGCCACCATGGGGGAGGTTGAGGCACAAGCTGACGACGAGCACCTACCACAGGTCAGGAACAGAGCGCTGGTGACACACGTGATGGGGTGCATCTGTTTTCCTTTGTTGTCTGTCTGTGTGCCTGTGTGTGTCAGGCGGTGTCAGCAGAGAGAGATGCGCATGACGAGGAGCCGTCACTCCCGCCACCCGGCTATGCGGAAGAAGACAGCGTCAAGGAGGAGCTAGCGACGCTCAAGGAGGACCACCGCAAGCTCCAGCAACAATGTGAGCCCACAGATGGGATGGACGCAACGCTTCCTTCAGATGGCTATCACGTTGCGTGGATCTATCGGCCGTTGTGTGCAGATGACCGTCTGGAGCGTGACTACCAAGATGCATCCAAGAGGTGGGAGGTGGACCAGCGGCGCCTCACAGTCGAGATCGACGCACTTAAGGCGGAACGCGACGCCACACAGGTACCGTACCCCACATGGCTGCAGCAGTGGAACAACCACACTCGCTCTCACTTGTGTGTGTGTGCCTGTGTGTGTGTGTCAGACGGCGAGTCCCGGCCCTTCCCCCGCAGAGCGACGGAAGAGCGGTGGCAAGGGCGAGAGCAGCACGGCCACCTGGTACTACGAGCAGCTCAAGGTGCTCAGGCAGCAGATACAGGAGCAGGACGAGCGGCACAGCAAGGACGTATTCGACATGCAAACCAAGTAAGCCCAGCCCACCACACTAGGTAGGGCACACACATACCAGCCAAGCCTCCTTGTTCATCTCCACGTGGCTGGCTGGGTGTGCAGACATGAGTGTGAGATGGGTGTGGCGACGACGCGCCACGACTCGGAGGTGCGGCAGCTGGAGGCACAGCTGGCCGACGCGCAGCGGCGCATCCGCATTCTCACTGGCGAGGAGGGCGTCATCCCCACGGGCCCTGACGTCAAGCGCACATCGAGGGACATCGACACATCAGTGCTCGAACAGCTGCAAGCACGGGTGAGTGAGTGGGGGATTCGGCATAGGGACGGACGGACCAGGCACAGCCGGCGACTGAATGAATGGCTGTGTGGAGTTCAGGTGACGCTGCTCCAGACCGAGAACAGCAACCTCCGTCACGCCCTCTCCCTCCGCCCCCACCACGCAGACTCCCCTATGGCAGCAGCAGCAGCGAGTGGCGACAACGCCCTGACCGTGCGGCGCATGAGCCAGCAGCAGCAGGGGCGGAAGCACGACACAGGCGATTGGGGCGAGGGGGCGTCCATGACGTCTGAGAGTGAGGTCGCGAGTGTCATCCCGCCGGCCAAGGCCATGGCGATGGGTATGGGGATGAGTATGGGGGCAGATAGCGAGGGGGGCGATGTGGGCGACCAGCAGGACGACAGGAAGCTGGCCGTGCCTCCCTCTCGCCCAGCGCGGCCCCCTAAGTCGTTCACAATCCCCCTTGAGTCGGTGAGCAAGCGGGAGGGAGACACACACGCCCTCACTCCACTTCGTGTGGACATGTCTGTGTGTCCTTTCCTTGGCCGTTGTCTCAGGGTGCTGACGTCGGTGTGGCCCCCGAGCATGGCGAGGACAGCCCCACAGCCCAGCTGCGCCAGGCTCACTGGGAGCTGTCCAAGATGCGGCAGCGGCTGTTCGCTCTCCGGGAGTTCCAGCTGCTGATCAAGGGGTGCGTCGCCATGACCTGCAGACTCTGTGGGCGGGTCATCCAGTACGAGAAGTTCCCCACCCACCTCCGCGAATGCAGCGCGCGAGCAGAGGGCCACCCACCCCCTCCCTCCCCCTCCCTCCAGCCCCCAGCAGCCCCACAGTTTTCGCGGGACATGCCGTACGGCCTCGGCAATGTCTCGCTGACTCTGGCGCCGATTATGAACGCTCTGGGGAGCAACGTGTCGGCGACTCCGTCGAGCGTGACGTCAGCGAGTGCGGAGAAGAAGGGCTGGGACGAGGGGAGCGCCACGAGCTCCGTGACGCCGCCCCCACCGCAGCAGGGCGTTACTGGTGCGGAGGCGGGTGTGCCTGATGACGCAATGGAGCTGATTGAGGAGGTAAGGACGGGGCGGACAGGGGGGATGGGTTGCGGACAGGAGTGTGGTTGTGGTGTCTGTCGACAGGATGAGTTCATCTGCAAGCGGATTCGCATCAGCATTCCGGAGACGTCCAGGCGCACGGACAGGAAGGGAAGAGAATTCCAGGTAGGTGCGTGCATGCGCATTGCAATGACAGACACTCACTCACTCACTCACGGAGTGGATCTCTCACTCCGATGTGTCTGTCTGTTTTCATTGCAGAGCTACACGATCCGAATAGACGTCGGCTCCCGCGGTTGGAGCGTGGCCAAGCGGTACAGGGAGTTCCTGGCCTTACAGCGGCAGCTGGAGAGGGCATTCCCCGAGATGCACTTCCCGCACGACGTGCCCAAGCCAACGCTCAAACAGGCCGACCAGTAAGCGAAAGGGACACATGGACGGAGGGGAAAGGGCAGCACAGCATCTGTGTGTGCGGTGTGTGTGGTGTGGTGGCTGGTGCAGGAGGGAGGTGGAAGGACGGAGGACTCGGTTGTCGCACTACCTTGACGTAAGAAAGGGGCACACGCTGTGTGGCCACGCCGGGGAAGAATCGTTGATCGGTGTCTTGTCTTGTTGGTGCCTGCTGGATGGATGTGGTCAGATGCTGATTCGCATCAAGAACGTTCGAGATTTTCAGGGTGGGCTTATACACACACAGACACAGGACGCACTGCTGTGTGGGACACGTGTGTGTGTCCTATGTGTGTGTATCTGCGTGTCAGCCTTTCGTCGCTTCTTGGAGCTGGATGAGCACCTCAACGAAGTCGACTACCTGCTCTAGCAAAACAATCCTAGCCCCTCTGGACAAGTGTGTCGATGATCGATCTTTTGTACAGCTAATCTGACTAAGAAACAACCTGACTAACCAACCAGCCGCCTTGGCCCTTTGCTTCTCCCGTCTCACACGCCTTCTTGTGTCGTATTTGTACCTACCCGTGTCCCAAGGGTGAAGTGCCGTGTCGTGCTGTGGGTATTTGTCAAGTACTTACTGAGGGGCGGGCGGACCTTCTTCCTCTTTTTGCTTTCCCCTCCCAGGTGTCCGTGCGCGCCGTCGGTTTTCCCCTTTTGCCACGGACAAACAAACGCAAAAACATGTATGTGGTGCGCCCCAAGCGTGGTCCATCGCGCGTGCTAAGCGAAGCGAGTGAGAGACTCCTTGTGTGGTTCTGTGCATGTCGGACGCGTCCATGTGTGTGTAAGAATCGGTAGTGATTTAAGCCGATTGATCACAGAGGCATTCATGAAATCGATACGCAAGTCGACAGACACGGGGAGAGAGAGAAAGAGAGGGAGGGATAGAGAGAGGGGGCACTAAGTACTAGGGCACCACACACGCATACACACCGATTCATGTAGTATGCACCCGAGTGGTCACTCACTCGTCGGCAGGAGGATGGGATGCCAGCAAGAGCCCGCCCCCCCCACCAGCCACAGCCATCCACACATGCAAAACGTGGCAGCGAGTAACAAACCCACCCACCCACTCGCCCACCCATTCCCGACTCCGCCTTGTCCATTCAAGAGAGGAAGTGACACCCAGGTCATCTCTGACGCCCGCCCTCATCACACCTTCACCTTCACCGCACACAGCCACTGGACCAACCAGCCAGGCACACAGAAGGTCTTCATCGACTGCACGGTCAGTCATTGTGTAGAGCTCTCCTCTGATCTCTGCTTGCGTGCCGTCTCGGCCTCGGCGAGCCGCTTCCTGGCCTCCCTGTCCCACCCCTTCTCCTTGAGGGCCGCCGCATCGCGGTCCAGAATGTCCGGATGGAACACCGCACACTCAGTGTACACCTGCACACACCCACAGCACACAGACGGACAGTAAGGTTCACTCGTATGCATGTGCGTGTGCGTGTGCGTGCGTGTGTGTGTGTGGTTGCCTTTTGTTGCAGGAGTGGTTTGGTGGGTTGGAAGTTGTCGAAGGACCAGTCGATGGCGGTGTCGCAGCGCGGCTCGTCCTCCTCGCTGTGCAAACCCTGCACACAACACACACACACACACTCACTGTGCTGCCGGCCGGACACACGCATTGCACGTGTGCAGTGCTCACTTCACTTACCTCGAAGTATTTGTGTTTGAGCGCGTCATCGACCGAGATGCGTTTGTTGGGGTCGAAGGCGAGCATCTTGGAGACGAGGTCGAGTGCGTCGGGGTTGGCCTTGGGGAAGACCTCGGTCAGCCGCTTGCCCTTGCTGCTGGGGATCTTGGTCAGAAACCGCCGCGCCGCCCCGCCCTGCGGCAGCCACTGCAGATCCTCCTCCTTGGGCGTCCCCAGGATGTTGATGATCTGCTTGATCTGGTCCAGGTGGTCGCGGCCCGTGAACAGCGCACGCCGACCCAGCAGCTCGCAGAAGATGCACCCAACCGCCCACACGTCCACCGCCCGCCCGTAGTTGCTCGCGTCCAGCACCACCTCAGGCGCGCGATACCACCGGGTCACCACGTAGTCGGTCAGCGGCGCATCTGCGCCGGCGCTGTCCGACTCGGCCAGCCCCCTGGCCAGTCCGAGGTCGCAAATCTTGAGATCGCAGTTTTTGTTGACGAGGATGTTTGAGGGCTTGAGGTCTCTGTGCAGGACGTTTGCTGAGTGGAGGTACAGGAGGCCGCGCAGGAGCTGGTAGATGAAGTACTGGAAGTGCTCGTCGGTGAGCTCCTGCTTCGAGTAGATGACTCGGTGCAGGTCCGTCTCCATCAGGTCGGTCACGATGTAGATGTCCTCGAAGTCGGGGCTCTTGGGCGGATACATGTCCTGACACAACAGAGCCAATCGATGGAAGCCAACACACACATGGGCTCTCTCTCTCTTTCTCCGCCGTGTGCGTGTTGCCCGCCCACCTGTATGCCGATGAAGTTCTCATGCTTGAGGTGTCCGAGGATGCGAATCTCCCTGAGAATGCGCTTGGCGTCGATGAGGTCGTTGAATGCGTTCTCAACCTTCTTGACCGCCACCTTCTGACCGGTGGTCTTCTCCTTGAACGACACGACCACGCCATAGGCCCCTGAGCCCACCTTGCGGATAAGCTCCATCCTCTCGGGCACCTCGAACACCACCTGGGCGCCATTGTTCTCGACCGTCACCTTCTTGGTCTTCTCCAAAGGCTGAGCAGCGGGCATTGTGAAGCGGGGCAGAGTGCTACAATCGACTAAGCCATAGAATGAGGTCAGACCCTCGGTCATGCAACGAATGCACCTGCCGCCGACGAGAGAGATACGCCGTTGCTTCCTCGCCTTTCTCTCGAATATAAGCTCGCCAATTGTAAGCTCGCAAATGGCAAGCTCTGACGCCCTTGAGGATCGTGGAGAGATAGACGTCTGTCATGGTGTGATCCACAAGCGATTAAGATGACAACTTCCCTCCCATCGCTGCCTCTGGAGATCCTGCTGAACATCCAGGCCTTCGTTCCCACTATCGACTTCATACGGGCCTTTTCGCGGCTCAACAGGGCTCTCCGCGACGTCATCGGTGGCGATGACGGCCTACGGTATCTCCGTGTGTGTGGCGAGGAGGCGTGGCAGCGCTTCACTGTCAGCATGGCCGTGCGGAAGGGCCTGTTCTCGAGATGGGGCTCTCACATTGAGAAGACGTCGATAGCTGCAAGCAAAAGCGGAATCGATGGCGCAGCGACTCGTGTGGATGGCCTGGTGGAGCTGATTGAGAGGGCATCCGATACACTCAGGTGGGCACAGACCAATCGATGGATGGATGGATGGATTCAGCGTGCACGATGATGGATGGCATTGCCTGACTCGTATGTCTGCAGAGTTCTGTTTGTCGAGGGCCACTCTGTCCACCGGGACCAGGCAAAGGCGTTGCCGAAGAGATCAGCCACGACATTCAGCCGCTTGCGTCACGTACGCATCCTATTCTCGGACTGGGTCCACTTGGCCGACGTGCGCAACTGGCGCTTGCCTGTGCTGCGCCGCTTTGAGGCACACGCCTTTCCGAGCGCCCATCTGCTCCACGGAAGGCATGCCGACAGCATGAAGGCATGGGTGTGCCCCAGTTCGTGTCTGGAGGAGATCTCTGTCAGCCCTAGCGTCTGTTTGGAGAAGGCCGTTGAGGGCCTTGAGGACATCTCGCATCTGAGAGTACTTGGCCACTTTGGTCGGTCGCTAAGCTCTTTCTCTCTCATTCCATCCCTGCTGACGAGACCTCCCCGCCCCCCGTCCCTCCAGCACATCTACTTCGACTACCTAGATTATTTCGCGCCGTCACACACAGCCGACAGCCGCCCCCAACAGCAGCCCCCAATCCCCAAAGGGTCTACGGGGACACTCGCTCGTATCGAGCCGGCGAGCCACCTGCTGACGTTGTTCCGCCACCTGTCCGCGCCTGGAGCGCAGTGGCACACCAAGCTGCTGTCGTGTCGCTTTCTATCGCTGCCGACCCACCCCTCGCTGACATCGATTGAGGACCACGTGTGTGCGGTGCGGCTGGTGGAGCGGGTGTGTGCTGGTGCGGTTGGTGTTGAGGTGCATCATCGGATGGGGCAAGGCGAGGAGGGGCATTTGGGGCCGCTGAGGTTTGCCAGCTGTGAGGAGATGACGGTGGGACTCGACTGCCGCATCCCCATGGCATTCAGGCACAGGCAGACGACCTACCCAAAGGTACGAGTGAATGCACATGCACACGTACGTCGGAGATGTGCATCCGTCCAGTCTCCTTTCTCCTTTCTCGGTGTGGGCAGCTGACGACCCTGCGCGTGGGGCTTCGTGGTTCTCCGAGCGACCCCCAGCCCCTCCGTCACTTGCCACATCTGGCTGACACCTTCCATCTCATGCCGGCCGTCAGATCCATCCGGTTCACCGCTGTCGAGGCCATCCACACGCGACCACCACAGGAGGAGGGCCACAGGTGTCCTATCGCCCAGCTGCTCACCGCCCTGCCCCCGTCTGTGACGAGACTCGGCCTGCTGGAGTGCTCTGGGGACCCTCTCGGCGTGCATCTGCTTGCCCAGTTTCTCGCTGGCAGGACGTGTGTGGGCGAGACGCGACAGCCAGGGGAGCTTCCGGCCGTCGAGACGATTCGCATGGTTGAAGGTGACGGGAGCGGTGTGGGGCGTGATTGTTGGACTGATGCGATGGCGACCACAGCGATCGACCGGATGCTGGGATGGTCGCAGCTGGAGCTGAGAGTCGATGCAGAGGACATTGTGGACTTTGTGAGGGTGTACAGGGGGCTTATCGAGCTGTCTCGGCGGCTGACGGGCGTGCGTCACGTCGCCGTGTCGATCGAGTGCAGCGACGATGTGGTGGAAGGCGATGAGACCTACACTGCCTGGTGAGCAGCTGCACGAAGGAGAGGCGTGAGTGGTCGCCTCATTCTGTGCATGTGTGTGCAGGGTAGTCATCTCGCGAAGGGCTGCCGAGTTGTCTATCGATCCATCATGGTCGTCACGGACGTTTTTGCGGCCAGTTCTGATGCCCTTGGTGGACTGACGCGATGGCGCGCTGTTTTTCGTTGTGCATTGGTCTGGCTTTAAAGTGTAGATACGGACAGGCAGGCATCCACAGGAGGCTATTCCTGCGCCCATTCGTGTGCACGATGACTCAGACAGACAGACAGACAGACAAGACAGACCCAGTGTGTCTTCTGTAATGTGAGATGGATCAGATCATCTTGGTATGAACAAGATTAATCAGCTGTACAAGCACCGGTCGGTGCCCCCGCTACACCCCCCGCAACCCATTTGCACACTCAGTGTCTGCCTGCCTCATGGTGTAGGGAGTAGCCAATCAGATGAGATCGACTTTTCCTTTGAACGCACATTTGCGGACCCATAGAATACCCATAAAAGATGACGCCTGCGGTGTCGTTTGTCAAACACCCCCGTCTGCGGGCTTAGCGGGAGACGGCCAGCTTCGTTGTAATGCTGCCAGTGCCATCACAAACGGCGAACATCGCCCAAAGCAGACACACATGCACACAGCGAGTGCGTCCGCGGCATGTCAACGCATAAGTGCACCAACAAGGAACACACATGACATCCCTGCAGCCATGCACACATACTAGGCAGGTACCGACGTCGATACAAACGCCTGTTTGCCGAGGAAGGAGCGCTGCCAAGAGGTGAGAGGGGAAGAGAGCAGTCGTCAATCCAATTGTGCATCTGTGATGGCCGCGCGGCGGTGTGTACCAAAGTAAACCAGGACAGTCGTCAGACAGTCGATGTGCGTGCAGCACCAGCATGGTGTACTCTGACGGTACCAAAACCAGTCGGCAATGCGCTTGCGGCGCGCATCTGCTTTGCGGCAGGGGCAAAAGCGACGCGGTGATGTACCTGCAAGGGCAGTGGGAGCTTACGTCTACCAGTCAGTGTGGCTAAATGCGTACACAAATGTGTGTGCGGCGCACATGATGCAACGAACACACCAAATGGATTAGGCAAGTAGCTGGCTACAGGTAGGTGTGGTGAGAGGTAGTGGTGTCGGTGGGCCAATCGGACACACCAAAACGCCATCGCCACGAGCACTAGACGAATGCAATCCATTCATTCCATGTAATGCATTCCACACGAGCGTACACAAGACAAATCTGAAGTAAGTGCGTCGAATCATCCAAGCATCCACGACAGCGGGCCCACAAACCATGGCACCACCATGACGACATGCACCGGCGGTTTATGGATCATCGATCGCATCCACCCCCTCCTGTCAGTCTGACTTCTCTGTGGTGGGCATGGCGGCCGTGACGATGCTTGGCGAGTGCGTGTAGCTCCTGCCGTCCTCGGGCGGGTCGATGAGGGTCAGCCGCGTCACGACAGACTCCACCACGGACTGTGCGTGCTGCGTCGAGTAGTTGAGCTGCCACGCCAGGCAGGAGACCACCTCAAGCCGCCTCACCTCCAGCAGCCACTCCACCGAATTCGCACCAGACAGATCCATCGTGAGAACCAGATCCAGCAGACGGTCGCCGTGCTCACGAACGGGATGCTGCCGATGTCGACCCGTTGACCGCTGCGGCATGAGAGGTGTGCGGGGCAGCGCTCCCTTGGCAGAACCGATGTTGTCCTGTCGGTGGCGACGGCGTCGATGGCCTTTAAGGCCTTAGCTGCCCAGGAGCTCCTTCATCGGCGGGAGGAGGGAGGGGGGGGTCGCCCAGACGGAATATCCGCACCACCAGCAGACCTGAGAAAAGGAGAACGGCATGCGCGTGTGTCTGTGTGGGTGTGGGTGTGGGCCTGTTGCTTACTGGTGAATTATTCGGCGAGGAACCAGTCGGGAAGTTGTGCCCTCGGCCCTAGTTGTTTGATGAACATGGCCGCCCCGTGAAGCATCGCAGCCATGACGTCCAGAGAGGCCGTCACCCTCCTAAACTCGTGGCCGCTGACGATGGGCGATCGAGAAGACGGTCGGCCTGCAGCTGAGTGGGGTAGGACAGCAGCACTACCTTAACCGATGCCCTCTGCCCCGGCGTCCACCCCTGCCACTGCCGGCTGATGGCCTCGCGGAACAGCGTGTGGCCGATGAACTGCACGCGCTCGACCAGGGCGCCATCCAGCTGGCTGCCGTCGTGTGTGACGAGTCTGTGGCCGACCTCACAGGCGCTCGAGTGGTCATAGATGGAGGTAGAGCGCTGCTGGGCAACCGGACCAGAGGGAGGGCATGTCATCGCCTGAGCCATCCACGGGTGATGGACGGGATACGGCCGGAACAGCCTTCCCCCGCCCATCGTGGGCTGGCTCGGACGACTCACATGGCCCACCTGCCAAGGCACACACACAGGAGACACACACATGAGCCATTGCCTGGTGCCTCCAGTCTCCCTCACGTACCCTCTGAAGGTCGCACATATCAACTTGGCCCACAGTCCGAGCTGTTTGGTGCACATGGACGCTCCGCGCAGCACCGCAGCCACCAGGTCCATCGACGCGTTACGCATCAGACGGACCACACCATGCCGCCACAGCACGGCGATCGTGTCGGCGGGGAGCCTCTGCAGCAGAGCCACTGCACACTGTTGCTGCACAGTTGGCGATGGAAGACAGTCGGCCGGCAGCCGAGTGGGGTAGGACAGCAGCACCGCCTTGACCGATGCCCTCTGCTCCGGCGTCCACCTCTGCCACTGCCGGCTGATGGCCTCGCCGAAGAACTGCAGGCGCTCGACCAGGGCGCCATCCAGCTGGCTGCCGTCGTGTGTGACGAGTCTCTGGCCGATCTCACAGGCGCTCGAGTGGTCATAGAGGAAGGTAGAGCGCTGCTGGGCAACCGGACCAGAGGGAGGGCATGTCATCGCCTGAGCCATCCACGGTGATGGACGGGATACGGCCGGAACAGCCTTCCCCCGCCCATCGTGGGCTGGCTCGGACGACTGACATGGCCAACCTGCCAAGGCACACACACACAGGAGACACACACATGAGCCGTTGCCTGGTGCCTCCAGGCTCCCTCACGTACCCTCTGAAGGTCGCCTGTATCAACCGTCGCGGCCCCAGGTATTTGATGAGCATGGCCGCTCCGTGGAGCACCTTAGCCACCAGGTCGATGCCGTCGGATCGACTTCGCCCCAACTTGCGCCACTGCTCGGCGACGACGTCCCTGCCGCCTCCCTCCCTCCCTCTCCCGCTGCTTGACGGTAGAGAGGAAGCTGAACATCACACTCCCATCACGTGGCCTGCACACCACACACACCATAGACACACCCACACTACTCGGTATTCCTGGCCTTCTCTGTGTGTGAGGGAGTGTGCTTACCATGGCGGCTCTGTAGTTTGGTGCAAGTATCTCCAGCAGATACCTTCGCCGCACGCCGTCCTCCCCCTTGGCCAGCATTGCGTCTCGGTAGCTCTGCAGCAGGTCAGCCGAGAGCGGGATGGGCAGCTGGAAACTCTCGTGCAGCGGCGGGCACAGACACATTCGCCGCAGAGCTATCGACCTTCGCCTTGTCGGCCTGGGTGCGGAATGCCTGCACCACACATACACACATGGATGGATGGATGGATTGATGGCACACAGGGGTGGTCTGCGTGTGCACACGTACCTGACAAGGGCCCTGAAGCACTCTCCCACCGTGGCCACCATGTCGTTGAGGAAGCAGCAGGTGCCGTCATCCGGATGCAGGTACTCCCACAGCCGCGACCGCAGCACCATGTCCTTCCCCCGTCGCACCACTGGCGACGAGATCCCCGCCGCCCCAGCAGCCACGAACCCCTCGTTCCCGCTGACATTAGTCAGATTGGATGGGTCGGTGATTGGCGGCCGGACCACGACGTGTGCCATCGTCTACACGAGCTCCTTGTAGAACCTCACGATGGACACGGGCGAGGGGGGGAACTGGTACTTGGTGGTCTCATTGAAGTCATTGGACTGGATGGCGGCGACACGCGAGGGCTCGATGGCCGTCCACTCTGCCGTGATGCGTGTGTGGAGGGCAGAGACCCTGGAACTGTCTCCGTCGCTTGTCGGTCTTCTTCTCTCTCTCCAGCGCCTCAGCGGCGTCACTTCTCGCGGCAGCTGTCGTGGTGGGCAGAGAGCTCTCCTCCGATGTCGCTGTGGGCGGCTTCCCACTGGCACGCAGCATGACAGATGTCTTCTTTCGTGGTGCACGGGGCTCGGTTGCTGGGGCGTGCGGCAGTGCGTTGGCAAGGTCTTGTTGGAACTTGGTTGAAGGCCTCTGGTTACGTCGTGGCCGTGTGCAGCTTTGTATGCCACGAGGACCTCATCTGTGGCCGGCAGCTTTGAGAGGGGCCACACGTCAATCGAATGACGAGTCATTGACTCAACAAGCTCTGCCACCAAACGCAACACAGCACACAGCACACAAGAGACAAAGAGAAGACGAGGTATGGTATACACACACTCAGAGAGGGCATTGATGTGCCTGCCATGGCTTTGATTTGTCCCTCTTGGTAGTCGACTGTCTGCTTCTCCGCCGCCATGACCATCTCGTTGGCCCTCGGCGTCCCGTGCAAACTCGCCACTCGCCCCAGCACCTCGACCTCTTCCTGTGGCTTCTGCCACTTGATCGACGGCACCGACGTGTGTGCCCTGGCAACGCGGCTATCCTTAGCCCAGCCGCGAGTGCTGACAGTCGAGCTGACCGGCCTTCAGCACTCCAGCGGCTGCCATTAACCATCAACACAAGCTGGCCGCACCAGAGGAGACTGCCCCGCTCGGCCTCTCCTCCCTCCACACCGGGGGCCCTTGATGGGCAGCACGCGGACGGCCTTGACACTGCCCTCGGCTGCATCGGCCCCATCCCCACTTCTGGTGCTGCCTGTGGTGAAGGGCATATCCTGGTGTGCATGTGGACCTCGTTGTCGCCCTCGACGGCCTGTGTCCACATGGCGAGGAGCTGGGGGTCGGTGCAGCCGAAGATCTCACTCAGGTGGCGGCCCAGCCACTGCTTATCCGACTCCAAATATAACCATCGGCGGCCGCGCTCTTCATCCTGATGACGCATGCGGCTGTATGTCTTCGTGTGTGTTGGGGAAAGAGGCACTGTCAGACACGCTCGTTGAGCTCTGCCGGTATCGTCAGCTCCTCCAGATTGTCAGACGTCAGCAAGATGGACGCAACAGTGCTGCCCTCGTGATGAGCCATCATCACCTCCGCCCTGGCCGCGCCGTCGCTGCCTGATGTCCGACGTGTTGGTATCATGCCCATTGCGATGACCTCCCCTTACCTGCCATGGCCGCGTCCGCCGCCCCCCTTCCTCCCTCTGTGGTCGCAATGGTTGTCGGGGTCGTCATCTGAGTACCTCAGGTTGTACCTGCCCGACCGCCCCTCCCTCCATCGATAGAGTCTTCAACCTCCTCTTCCTCCTCTTTCTCGTTGTCGTATTCCTCGTCGCCCTCGCCCTCGCCCTCGCCCTCTCCCTCGCCCTCTCCCTCGTTGTCTCTCGCTGTGCGGTGCCTGCGATGGCCCCCGCCGTTGGAACGTGTGGGCGGGTGGGTGCGTGGGCGTCACTGCCCACCGCACCCGAAAAGCTGTCTCATGGTGGTGGCTATCCAGGCACCCGCCTCCTCTGCCGCCCTCTTAATAGCCGCTCCGGCGTCGTCTATCGCAACTGACGCACTGGAGAGCAGCGATAGGAGGCGGGTGTTGGTGTCCTGGTCCTCTGTCCGCACCGCCCACGTATCCAGCCAGACGCCGCGGTCGTCCACCCTCCTCCCCTCCAACTCCCAGAGCTCCCACTCCCCACTGCGGGAGTTGAGCCGCCACCCCTCAAAGGCGCCCGGGTGCCACGGCAGCTCCACCACTATCGCCTTCCATGGCTGGAAAGGATTGGCGGGGGGCTGCACGCGCTGGGCATGTTGATATGTGGGGTTGACGGCTGGTGCGGGGTTGTGGACTGGGAATGGTGGCGGCCAGACGACCTGCGGCCTGGTGGCGGTGGGGGATGGCCTGGGCGGGGGCGTGCTGCTCCTCTCGTGCTGCTTGATGGGCGGCACGGCATCGGCGTCAGCATGGTGGGGGCGGGCATGGGTGGAGGAGTGCTGCTGTGCTGCTGCCGGCCCTGCCTGGGCCTGTGTGACGGAGGACTGCACACGAGACACTCTGGTGGCAGCTGGCGCGCTGGTGTCTGCCTCAGCCGCCGGCAGGGCGGGTGCCTCTGGAGCCTTGGGAGGGGGTGGTGGACCAATGAGTGCCAGGGGAATGGGCGAAAGCTGCTCTATGGGCGACACGGGTGACGGCTGGTATGCCAATGACATGTCTGTGTGGGAGAGGGGAGAGACGGCTGGTAGCGCCTCTCTCTCTGGTATTGCTGGTGGAGGCTGCTCGGGTGTCGGTGGGATGGGGGGCGGCTCGGGCTTGGGAGGCTGCGGAGACTCCTCCTCTTGGCGCTGCTGGCGAGCCACCAATGAGCGGGTCAGGGGCATGAACTGACCGACACGACAACACACCACACAAGTGTGTCAGATAGCCCAGGTGGACGCACGGGGTGCTCTATCTGTCTGTCACGCACGCACCTGCTCATAATCGTCGTCCCAGTACTGTCCCTCAGCCGACTCTTCCTTCTCGTCCATGACCACGGCCGCATCCTCGCCAGTCGGGCCAACCTCAGGGCCCTCGCCGCTGCCCTCACGCACACGACCGGGCGGCTCCTCCTCGCCCAACTTGTCCGAACTCTCGCTGCGATCCTTCCACGACAGGCCGCCAGGGCGGCTCGAGCCCGTGTCGATGCCGGGCTTCTTCAGCCCCAGACCCAACACACCTCCGATGGCCTTCTTGTCCTCCTTCGGGGTGCCCTCAGCACCGGTCGGGCTCTCAGCACGGCCGGCTGCTGCTGCTGCTGCCGCCGTCGAGGGGCTCTCCTTGCCTTGCTCCTGTGGGGTGTCGGTTGGGGCTGGGGCCTGCTCCTTCTCGACGTCGATGTCGCGTCGGTCCCTGCCCGCGTCCCTGCGGTCCCGGTCCCGGTCGCGACCTTGGTCGCGCTCGCTCTCCCGGTTTCTGTCTCGCGGGCGGCCACCGAATCGTGGCTGGCGGTTCTCCTCGTCCCGGTCCCCCTCGTCCTTATCCATGTACCGGCCCTCCTCTCGGTCATCGGCCCGAACACGGTCCCAGTCACTGTTGTCACGCATGCGCCGCTCGCGAGGCTCGGAGCCCTCCCTGTCGTGGGGCTCCCGCTCTCGGTCTCTGTCTCTGTCCATGCCGCCTCGATAGTTGGGTCCGAATGGAAGGGAGCCCTCCTTGGACGCCCGGTGGGGCTCCTCCGATGGCTGCTGGGGCGGGGTGGGTGAGCGAGGAGGGCTAACGTCCTGCTGCTGCTCTGGCTCTGCTGTGGGCTGGTGTGGAGGGGTGGGGGGTTTGGCGGGGGCTGCGGCTGCTTCACCTGAGTGACCAGCTGGCGTGGCCAGCTCCGACTCAAGCAGGCGGCGGGCTGTGTCGTAGGCTTCCAACAGCTCCTCGAGGGTCCCCCTGTCTGCGTAGCGGGGCTGGAGTCCCTTGTGGGCCGCCTTGGCGATGATCCTCACCCACCGATCCACAAACTCACGCCCCGGCACCCCCTCAAACCAATCCAGGGGGCAGTTTTTAAACGCCAAGGCGCTGCTGCCGGCCCTCCTCGGCGGCCCTGTGACGCCGTCCGAGGTCGACCTGATGCTGCTGCCTGCCCGCTTTGCCGGCACCGGCATACGTGACCCTCTCGACCGTGCTGCCGCCGCCTACCCCGCTTCCCGCGCGAGCAACAAGGTGGTCTCCAAGGCCGTCCAAGGCAAGGCTCCCTTCCACCCTGGCGACCATCGTGCTACCATCCGCCACGCCCTCACCAAGAGCAAGCAGCAGCAGGACGTCGCCCACAAAACCAAGAGGGAGGCCGCCCTGCCGCACATCGACCGTCGGCGCCATCGCGTCCTCTCCCGCAGCGCCGAATACAAGACGTCCGGCTGGCTGACCACCCTCCCATCGACAGACAACAACACTGGTCTTGATGCTGCGGAGTTTCGAGATGCCCTCAACATGCGATACGGCCGTCACCCCCCTGGCCTC